GAATTTCTCAAACTAACCTCAGGCAGAGAAACTAATGAAATGAGCATGGCAAAATTTCATAGGGTTTCCTAGTTTCAAAGTTAGTATATCAGAGGGTATTGAATCCAGAAACCGTTTACCAGTCATGAAGTTTCCCACAGAGTGGGAGAGAGAAAGCGAAACATCCTGCCAAATAAGGAAGCACAGCTACAGATGGTACTAGTGCAGTCCAAGAAAGATACCATCATATCAGAAGCCTGCCAAGATTATGCAATTGCATTACTTTCACCCAAAATTTATACATGTCCTTCTACTAAAATTACAGTGAAGACTTGGCTAGGATAGGCCCTAGCATTACAGCACACAACAAAATCATAGAAAGGGGGTTTCTTGGAAATTTGGTTGACTTATCCAGGCCAGGACTATTTTAGCATTGTAGGCCTATGTGCACAATTGATGATCCCATTTTTTCAATGATTTCAAACCTTTTGAAAATGCATTCCTATACAGTACTTCCTCATATAAGAATTGTTATATCCAGTGTTTTATTTATTTATTGTTGAGACTTCTAAACCACTTCAGTCTTACAAATCTAAACTCTTTACCCAAACTAATAGAACATAAATTTTATTATATACACTGCTCAAAAAAATAAAGGGAACACAAAAATAAGACACCCTAGAGCTGAATGAATGAAATAGTCTTATTAAATACTTTGTTCATTACGTAGTTGAATGTGCTGACAACAAAATCACAGAAAAATTATCAATGGAAATCAAATTTAGCAACCCATGGAGATCTGGTTTTGGAGTTACGCTCAAAATTAAAGTGGAAAAAAACACAACAGGCTGATCCAACTTTGATGTAATGTCCTTAAAACAAGTCAAAATGAGGCTCAGTAGTGTGTGTGGCCTCCACATGCCTGTATGACCTTTGTACAACGCCTGGGCATGCTCCTGATGAGGTGGCGGATGGTCTCCTGAGGGATCTCCTCCCACACCTGAACTAAAGCATCCCCCAACTCCTGGACAGTCTGGTGCAATGTGGCGTTGGTGGATGGAGCAAGATATGATGTCCCAGATGTGCTCAATTGGATTCAAGTCTGGGGAACAGGCGGGCCAGTCCATAGCATCAATGCCTTCGTCTTGCAGGAACTGCTGACACACTCCAGCCACATGAGGTCTAGCATTGTCTTGCATTAGGAGGAACCCAGGGCCAACTGCACCAGCATATGGTCTCACAAGGGGTCTGAGGATCTCATCTCGGTACCTAATGGCAGTCAGGCTACCTCTGGCGAGCACATGGAGGGCTGTGCGGCCCCCTAAAGAAATGCCACCCCACACCATTACTGACCCACTGCCAAACCGGTCATGCTGGAGGATGTTGCAGGCAGAAAAACGTTCTCCATGGTGTCTCCAGACCCTGTCACATCTGTCACATGTGCCCAGTGTGAACCTGCTTTCATCTGTGAAAATGCCAAACGTCCTGCACGGTGTTGGGCTGTAAGCACAACCTCCACCGGTGAATGTTGGGCCCTCATACCACTCTCATGGAGTCTGTTTCTGACCGTTTGAGCAGCCACATGCACATTTGTGGCCCGCTGGAGGTCATTTTGCAGGGCTCTGGCAGTGCTCCTCCTGTCCCTCCTTGCACAAAGGCGGAGGTAGCGGTCCTGATGCTGGGTTGTTGCCCTCCTACGGCCTCCTCCATGTCTCTTGATGTACTGGCCTGTCTCCTGGTAGAACCTCCATGCTCTGGACACTAGGCTGACAGACACAGCAAACCTTCTTGCCACAGCTCGCACTGATGTGCCATCCTGGATGAGCTCCACTACCTGAGACACTTGTGTGGGTTGAAGACTCCATCTCATGCTACCACTAGAGTGAAAGCACTGCCAGCATTCAAAAATGACAAACCATTAGCCAGAAAGCCTAGGAACTGAGAAGTGGTCTGTGGTCACCACCTGCAGAACCACTCCTTTATTGGGGATGTCTTGCTAATTGCCTATACATTTCCACCTGTTGTCTATTCCATTTGCACAACAGCATGTGAAATTGATTATCAGTGTTGCTACCTAAGTGGACAGTTTGATTTCATAGAAGTGTGATTGACTTGGGGTTACATTGTGTTGTTTAAGTGTTCCCCTTATTTTTTTGAGCAGTGTATGATTAATCCCTGAAATAATATATGTATTTATATTTATATATACATATACATATACTTGCACTGGCACAAAGCTGAAAGCACCAGCCTGAGGATGGTGAGTGGGACCTCGCCGAAACGTTGCGAAGATACTCTTAATCTTACATGGGAAAAGACCCGAACACACCTAGACCTACCTACCTACATACATACATATATTTGTTTTCTTAAGTTTTCAAGGGTACTTACATGTATGGTATTCAGCTTTGTTCGGGTATTTTCCCACGTCATTATAGTTGTGCTTTTAAAGTTGTAGCAACGTTTCGGCAGAATCTCATCTGCCATCATCAGGCTTCTGTACTGTGTTCATCTGTGAGTCAGACATACATACACATACATACATACATACATACATACATACATACATACATATGTTTTCTTATATTTTCACAGGTATTTATATGTATGGTATTTAGGTTTGTTCAGGTATTTTCCCACGTCTTTTAATAGTTGTGCTTTTAAAATTCGGCCGAAACGTCGCTATAACGTTAAAAGCACAACTATTAAGATGTGGGAAAATACCCGAACAAACCTAAATACCATACATAAATACATACATTGACTAGCAGCATCCATAAATGTTGAATAATCCTACATTCCACACAGCATTCTCCTCACTTGAAAACCTGTGGGAAACCACCCTCCTTCTTTAAATATCAAATCTTTCAGCCCCCCAAAGATCTGCAAAAAACCAATGTTTTAATTATTTTGTACTCCTTAAAAAACTTTAAAGGTCTGTGGCCATTTTACGTAGCAAGCTGATCCAAAGAATCCTACCAAAGAATGTTCATTTCTGGGTGCCTTCTATTGCGTCTACTAAGGTGGGGGTTCTTAGGGTGCCTCTCTGCTGGAATTACTGGGTGCCTTACAAGTTACCTAGATCCCAAGTTATTTAGGTTGTTATAATTATATCTAGCATCTTTAATAGCAGCCAGAAGCAAACTGATAATCATTGCATCTCCTCCAGAATAGTATGTGATTCTAACAGTGCTCATCCATTTCCAAAGAAGCTGCTGCATTTTGTACCAGTTGAAGTTTTTGAATGGTCTTCAAGACAGCCTAATTAGAGGTACTTATTATAGTCCCGACATGAGGTGACAACAATATACAGGATATTATGTGCTCCCAAAATTCTGGGAGAGTGTATAGCTGCTGCAGCCGCCAATTCTGAGACAAACCTCTCACAGTCGTGGTTCCCATTTATTATTCTAGGAAGAAGCCAGATTCTGAACTTGCTTTTTCAGGAGGTACACAGCTCAGTTTGGAATTATCCGGGGGGGGGGGGGGGGGGCAGTCAGCTTCTAAACAGCCAGCTATTCTCTATTTCAGGGATTAAGCACAAGCTTGTTTTCTCGACCTAGACTTCAGATCAAGACTTCAACCATATCTCCTGCACCTCCCCTAGGTGCAGGAATATAACTGGATATCATGAACTTAGTGATACTGAAATCCATACTCTCTTCTAGAAATTTCAGGTAAAGGTTAAAATAGAGAGGATCAAGCTCTGGATCACCCCATAGTGGAATCATCCACTCAAAACATAACAGAATCTATTCAGCACAATCTCAAAGGTGCTTTTTAAAAGGCAACTGGATTGTTTTTTTTCCTTGAGGAGGAAGAAGATATTTTCCTTCTCATCCAAGAAGGGAAATTCATTTTATTCTCATTCCCATTTATCGGTTCTGGCAGGATGGTGGGAGCAATAGAAGGATTAGTTCTGATAAGATTGGGGGCCCGGGGGGGGGGGTTTCAAAGGATCATATTTCTTTGCAGTCATCCATGCATTCTCCCTGAGAGCTCTTGAGGCCATTTGGGGGGATTTATCTGTACCCTCAGGATCACTTGTAAGAGTGTAAATGGGGGTGGAATTTTCTTGGAATTGCTGAAAGAACTGTGTTGTAGACAGAACAGAGATGGTGCTGAGAGGGCTACTCAGTATTAACATAAATGGCCTCTTTCAAACCAATGGTCCTCTCTATGCAGAATATGGACTTTATATTATTCTGGACCAGTTGGAGCTTCTGGGTGGTCTTTAAGAGCAGCTCCATAGAGAGTATACTGTAGTAGCTGAGCAGTGAGATGACATAGGTGTAAGTGGCTGGAGGGCTGACTAATATAGGAAAGGGTGCCCTGGCACACCAAATGGAGCTATGAAAGATCCCTTTGGCCCTAGCTACCATTCACTCTTTGCCTCAGCTTGCCCTTATTGCACCCGTGCTTTCTAACTTGTACTGGTTGCCAATATGTTTCTGTATATGGTTGGGCTTGGCTATCTGAGGGACTGCCTCAGATAGGAATCCAGGACAATCTGGCAAAGCGGCCATACTTGAGGTAGGTTGCATGGGACGCCTCCACCTGTGGTAATTTTTTGTTTTGGTTTGTTATCTGGGTTGCTTGTCTGTGAAAACTCTCAATCATCCAGGTCATGATTATTCCAAGGGTGTTTCTTTAAAAAGACAACAGGAGTTTCTTGGGTCTTTTTTTTTTTTTTTGGTTTCTTGAAGAAGCTTCTTAGATGAGAAGTGAAATGTTTTCAAGGAAAACAAAAACAAAAAAAGTCCAGTTGTCTTTTGAAAAGCACCTTTGGGAGTATTGCATGAGTTGCCTTCTTGTACTTATTTTTGTATTTTGCTCCCATCAACTTTGTTGTAGGTTCTTTTTTTATGTTGTTTTTTATTTGGGGGGACATGCCCTGCCAGTCATTTGGACAGTATCCAAACTGAATACATAAAAATAAACAATTGTCATGTGTACCAGAAACCTTTGATTGAAAAGAACAAAAAGAAACAATAACATTGCAGAATGCCATGTCCCATTACCTGATTCACACACTATACTTCCTGGTTTCAACTCAAGCATCATGGTGATTAAAGAGATATCCGTTGAATATAGGATTTGAGTTCTGTGGCGTAAGTTCAAAGTCCATAACTCTGGGGTCGGATAAAGGATGTACACCCAGCCTCCTTTGCTGCAGGTCACCTTGGAACCATACTTCTTTCCAATGAGGTCAGTTGAGTGTCTAATAACACCATACTTAGTCTGAGTTTTACCACCATGTTGCACCTTCACTGGAAACATTGATTCATGTCCCAAGAAGACAACTGCCGTGTCCCCTTCTTTTATCACATCTCCATATTCAATAAAACTCATCACGATAATGTTGTCACTGGCAGGTTATTTGCAGCTAAGGAAAAAAGGAAACAAACATACTTGAGAATCTCTCCTTGCTTCTCCTTATGTTAGCCTATCAATCTTGTTTCTTCTTCACTACTCTTTCTCATTTAAGTTCCCCATCTCCAACTCAAATAAAGCATCATTCCATAGTTCAAATCATGATCTAAAGGCAACCTAATATAGTTTCATTCCTGAAGCTAAGCAGGCTGTGCTTGCTTGATGCTTGTCAGGGAGTTCACTTTGGAAACCCATGAACATACAGTCATTACTACAGTACAAAAAAAGGCAGGATAGAAATGAAGCAGGAAACCCCTTTTGCTCAACTTCAATTCTTGTTGTCCTTTCTTGCTGTCACCTGCCATCTATTGTAGCTCTAATTCCTGCTTTCCTCCAGATATTTTGGTGTATAAGTCCTGTTAGTACCCCAAAGAATGAATAAAAACCAGGAATGTGGATTATAGTCATATAGAGTCATATAGAGAACACCATTGGACAAGACACAACGATAAGTATAAAATAAAAATCAGAAGGTATAATAAGACAGAAGGAATAAGTATAAACAATCTTTTTTCTCTCTCTTAAAGGCGGGGGGAGGGGGGTATTTCAGTCACTCGGTTTCCTTCCAGTAAACTAAAGTTCACTAGAGAGGACTGATTGTCCTACAATCCTAAATAGCCCTTTAACACAAGCAATTCACAGGAGAAATCAGTAATCTAACAGCTGGAGTGGTTCAAGTTTAGTTTGATATTATGAAGAAGTCCAAAATTCAGTCTTTTCCACTGTAAGAACTTGGCACAGGATGCAGCAGTCTTTAGCAGGCTATCTAATATTGATAATTATATCATATTTGGGGAGTCCAAAGTCTGTCTTAGGCCCAATACTCTTCAATATCTTCATTAACGACTTAGATGTGGGAATAGAAGGGGAACTTACAAAATTTGTAGATGATACTAAGCTGGCAGGAATAGCTAACACCCAAGAAGACAGGCTCAAGATCCAGATGGATCTTGACAGACTAGAACACTGGGCCTTATCTAATAAAATGAAATTCAATATAGAGAAAAGCAAACACTTAGGCAAGAAAAACCAAAAGTACACATATAGACTGCGTGAAACCAGGCTCAACAGCAGTAACTGTGAGAGGGATCTTGGAGTCTTAGTGGACAACCAGCTAAATATGAGCCAGCAGTATGCAGCAGCCGCCAAAAAAGCTAATGCAATCCTAAGTTGTATTAACAGAGGGATACAGTCAAGATCAAGGGAAGTACTAATACCACTCTATAAAGCCTTAGTAAGACCACACCTAGAATACTGCATCCAGTTTTGGTCACATTATCAAAAAGATGTTGAGGCTCTAGAAATAGTACAGGGAAGAGCAACCAGGACGATTAGGGGACTGGAGGCTAAAACATACAACGAACCGTTGCAGGAACTGGGCTTGGTTAGTCTAGTAAAGAGAAGGACCAGGGGAGACATGATAGCAGTGTTCCAATATTTGAAGGGCTCCCACAAAGAGGAAGGGGTCAAGCTATTTTCTAAAGCTCCTGTAGGTCAGACAAGGAATAATGGATGGAAACTGAACAAAGAGAGATTTAACCTGGAAATAAGGATAAACTTTCTGACAGTGAGAACAATCAACCAATGGAACAGCTTGCCCTTGGAAGCTGTGGGAGCACCATCACTTGAAACTTTCAAGAAAAGATTGGACTGCCATTTGTTAGAAATGGTGTAGGGTCTCCCGCTTGGGTGGGGGGTTGGACTGGATGACCTACAAGGTCCCTTCCAACTCTGATTATCTGTATCTATGGAATGCATATTTAAATCCAAGTTCTTCTTTACATGTGAATCAGGTTTCTATGAATAGTTATTTTAGATAATTGTCCTGTCCTCCATACTCCAGTCTAACACCTTGCAAACTGGTTCCCTAAAATAGCAAATTCCTAGGAAAAGACTTGAACATAAACTATCCTACAAAGTATCTTTCAACTATCCTACAAAGTCTGGCAATTCTGAACAAGATTCTTGCCACACAGCATACATTCATACAGGAAGATGGTTTAACATTTGAGAGAAGGAGGGACAAGAACTGTACTCGGAGCGAATGGGACCATACCAAACATCATGTGGCAGAATCTGAATTTACTTTGCTGGAGAACTTTTTTTTTCTTTTTTTCATTGAAGCTTATTTCTCACTTCAAACTGGTTAGAGTGCAACTCATTTTCAATAACTGCAAATGGAAGTGGCTGAAAATGTTGCAAGAATGGTTAAGAAAGTCACATAAGCGTGGTGCGGAGGATCTCAAGTTACCTACTCTGATGAGGGAGACTTAAGGAGAAGCTGCTGCTTCAGATACACATGAAAATTGGAGAAGAGTACATTCTGAATTTTAACAAGCTTTTTAAAAAACTCACTATGGGATTTAGCAAAAATTATTTGTGTTTATTTATTCATTTTCATTTACATGTTAAATATCTCAGCCACATGACACTATTATAAAATTTTAATAGAAGGAGAAGGAGGATTAATAATGCAAGAGTGTTTTGTTTAACTGGACGGACGCTGTACCTTGCAAATCACCATGTCTATTCCAAAGGGTTTGGAGCATTGCAATTACTTGACAAAAAGTCCTTTTAGCTTTTATGCCAGCATCACCATTAGATCTTTTATCTCAGCATGTAACTGTTGACCATCAAAATTAAGTCATAATTTCATGAGGCTCCTATGCTTAATCTTGTAATCATTATTTTTTATTATTTATTTATTTATTTTATTTGGTTTGTCAACTGCTTACAAGATAATAGGTATAAGTAAAAACATAGTTATGAATACATGGGTACATATAAGAAAAATAAAAGAAACAATAGGACAGGGACGGTAGGCATGTTGGTGCGCTAATGCACCCCTCTACAAATTAAATTACACTCACCATACATTTGATCTTTGTAGATAGGGACAGGAGTACTCTCATAAGTAGAGTTATATTTCCAACACGAGACTAATCAGAATTACAGCCAAATGCAGTTTAGAGTTGGAAAGCTAATGCAAGACTATGAATCTGCATTCTGACTTTATTAACTTATGTTCTGATTTTACATGCTAATGGAAATTTTTAAAAAATGAGAAAAAAGTAAACAATAGTACAAGACTAATTGGTAGGTAGCATGAAAGCATTCTTTGAATGAGGAGGTTTTGTATTACAAGATTGCCAATTTTTAAAAGGCTTTGTTGTTATGCTACTAAGAACTTCTTGACCACAGCTATAAAGCAAATGAAGCTTTTCTTGGCATTGAAACAAGTGGGAGGAAAAAAAGTAATTTGCCAGCTACTAAGCAACATGAACAAGAACATTTTTAAAGAGAAAGAGACAATAGCAATGCTAGGATATAGTGTACCTTGCAGTACCTTAAAGAACAATATCACTGAAAATATAACAGTGATTCCTGGATTATTTCCTTTTGCTAAAGATTCTATACAGTGCCAGAAAAGAAAAAAATGTCAGAAAGAGAATCCCATTAGTCTAATGAAATACAATTATATCTGAAAAAAATTCAGACATCAATGTCTTTCAAATTTGTCATGGTGCACACCCTCAGAATTATATGCCATTTTATCAAGAGATAAAACTAGAAGCTTAGAATGAGGCAAAATGCAGAAACCAACCAACCAACCCAACTTTCCCCTTGATTTATTGTAGAAGAAAATGAACCATCCTCTTAGAAATTAAGGACATTGTACAATAGTTTGCTGAACATATATAAAGGGAAACTGGATTGGAAAAAGATTAACATAGTTTTGAAATTGGAGGAAGAAACATCTATAGTCTATGTGTTATGCTGATGGGACTAAGATTACATATAAAAGGTCAACCTAAAGAAAACAGAACTTAGAATTGACAGTGAAGATATTGAAATGGTACACAGCTTCTGCCTTTTAGGATCAATCTTCTACACAACAGGAGTCAAACTCAATCACATCACAGACCGGATCATGATATATTGCGGTGGTTTTTTTCCCTTTGTGGAGCCGGGGTGGGTGTGGCCTGCAAGTGATTGATCCAGACTGTGTGCTGCCAGTTTGATAGGCCTGTTCTATACTAAAGGAACAAGGAGTAAAGAAATATACTACAGACCAGTACTTGCTAGAGCAGTTCTTGAAGGCCATGGAAAATATATTTAATTTGCCATGATGTATGTACAAAGATCAGAATTGTGCAAGTAATGGTATGACACATTACAGAAGGAAAAATTGGACATGGAAGAAACAGGATAGAAAGAGCATTTGCACTTATGATCTTTTGTGGTGGAGAAAACATCTAAGAATAAAAATATGAAAACAAACAATTGATCATAAAAACAAATCACAACTCTCACTTGAAGCCCAAATGGCCAAGCTAAATGATCTTACTTTAGAAACATTATATAAAGACCTAACTCTATGGTAAAGGTTAATAATGCTAGGAAATGTGGAATGAAAGAAAAGAGGACATCTAGGAGAAGGTGGATGGAATCAGTTACTCTGCTGAAAGACTTGAAGGACCAGGTTAGGAAGAGATTGTCATGGAGAAAATATATTTATGTTGTCCTTAAGAGTCAACACCAACTGGTGTTGGTGGTGGCACATAATCAATCAATCAATTAACCTTGCTAAAGATCCTTTTTCTCCTTTTTGTTCTCCAAAAGAGAACATACCATTTATAGCAGATGAAATAGCTAGACTCATCTTTATAGCATTAGCAGTGGCTAAGCCATGCATAAAATTGTCTGGCATTTGTCTTCTTCTGCTGTGTCTATATATAATATTCCTATTTCAGCACTACACTCTGTGCATCTGATGAACCAGATAGCAGTCCACAATGATTGTGCAGTAATAATTCATGAAGTCATTAAAACTTCTTTCCTCTATCATAAGAGTTCTTTCAATGTCTCTACGACAACTGGAAAAACTGCTTTGCTAACTTTCCAAACTGAATTCTAAACAGTATTTGTTTGAAACCAACTGCTATATTGGAACATGACTTGTTTTGGAATACCAATAAACTGAGTTTTTTAAGAAGAAACTGTTAGATCAGGTATGTCCGGCCCACAACGTATATAGGTTGCATGCAGCCCTGAACAGTTAGTAATGTAGCCCCATAAGATAACAAATTTTAAAAAGAACTAAAAAAGAATTATTTATATGCATTAATTATATTTATATTTATATGCAGCTCAGAACAATTCCTCTTCACTCAGTATGGTCCTGGCAAACCAAAAGGTTGGACAACTAGGTGTTAGATAGAAGCAACTACAACATATGTTGTTTGAGAATTTCAACACACCAGGTACAACTTTCTACATGTGTAGTTTTAATATGTAATTAATATATAGAAGTTGTAAAAACTAAAAGACATTTTTAAAACCCCAGACTGAAAGAAAGCATGGGATTTTCATATTTTATCCACCCCCTTTTTTTACTCTACACTTTCACGTTTCATGTTCCTTTTTTCAGCCTGTTTTGCATTTGTGACCTACAAACGACTTGTCCCTATTTACCTTTTCTATAGGAGATGCTTCTGGAGGGGGAAGGGAAAAACAGGCACAAGGTAACACTTCTATGTTGTTATCAGACCATCGTTTGCGCTCACGATTTTACCTCTGCTGACATCCCGTTCTTTAAAATTAATGAAATCGCAGGAGCTCTGCTTTCCTTTGGAGACCTTTGGAGATTGTAAAGGTTTCCCTTTATAAAGTTTAAAGCATGTCCACTCAAAAGAAGGTTCCAGAGTAGCGAATGGAGTGGCCTCTCTTGCAAAGAGGCAACCAAAGTGCAGTTCTTGGTGTCGTTTCTCAGCCCCGACTCCTTAAACAGCCGTTTGCTTTAATCTCACTTCACTCTTACCTTTCCGACTCCCTACTTGCATTCAGGCAAGAAGCATCAGCTCAAGAGCAGAGCACAGCCTCGGCCGGTGCAGACACGTGTTTTCGGTACTTCCTCTCTCTTGCTCGTCGCAGCCTATGACGTTGCTCCTCCCCTCCCTCGCATAGCCGGTCGTGAGCGGGAGGAAGCTCTTCCCCGTTTCCAGCTTCGTTGGAGTGTTTTTGCTTCCTTTCGCGGTGATGCAGTTCGCGTCCTGTCTCCTCTGCCCCTGGCTTCCCATTAGTTGTGTGGTGCAATCGGTGCATCACTGATTGGTATTTGTTGTGTCGCTATTTTAAATAACCAGAGTCGCAAATTCACTCTTACACGAGCGTCTCCTTGTCGCGTTTAGGCGACAGCTCCATCCCTGCTTATCTGGGACTAAACCTCCCTTTGAATTGGAAGGGACTTCTGAGTAGAGTGTAGGATTGCGCTAATAAAATCGGTTCCTTTCGTGAATACACTGCGAACCACGGCATTGTTTTTGCAAGATCAGCTCTGTCAAGGAAGGCTTGCATGGATTAAAACTGGCATTTCATTTCTCCTTTACCTTCACTGTAATGCGATTACAGTATTAATCTGTGATATATGTTCCTGGTTTTGAGATTGCATATATTCCTATACCTACTTAATCTGGGTGCCCATACTTATCAGGCTATTTTGTAGTTATTGTTTCACATTTTCAAAAACTGGATCAACCCTAGAAATATTTTTAAAGGAAGCAGATACTTAAAGAAATAACTATTGAGGAGAGAGAGGAAATGCTGTGGGCCTTCCTTAATTGTAAATTTACATAAGCTCAAATAACACATCTTACAGAATGCAGAATATCCTCCCATCACTTTCTTATTATGTGTCCATGACTGAAAGTTACCTACCCAATAGTTATACGTTTTAAATCAGATGCGTTTCCTTGAAAATACAATAAGCCCTACTTTCTTCAATGGAATGTGCTGATTATTATTTTAAATTTGGATTTTTTTTTTCAAATGGCTTTCTTACATTGCTTAAGTGTAATTCTCATAGCACAGTAAGGTAAAGGTCTACAATCACTTCCATGTTCCCCTCTGTGTTGCTGAGATGAGGATTGAAATTAAGAGAAAGTAGATTTTTGTAGGTGGAGAATCACAGGATTCATGAGGATGACACGCCAGGTTAGTATGTACAGTGTAGAATTAAAATTTGACTTTCTCTGCTATCCCAGTTCCCTAGCAATGTGTGTAGGACTGCAGCCTTGAGTCATGATTGAGGAACAAGCTAAACAAGCTCCAGAAAGAAGAAAGGGGCGGGCATGACTCTGATGTATACTTTATATGGTAGTGAATTTTTTTTTGTTAGTGTATGGAGTTTGCCAAGAAATAGCTCCAAAGCAATGTAAAATGCTCTTCACAGAGCAAGTTTACACATAGTGTAAACAAAATTAACACGACAAACATAAGAACAGCTTTGTCGATGCAAAATTATTACTTTGCTCCTATAATGTTGCTCTATGTTTTTTCAGCCAGTTAGAGCTTTTAGCTGACTCTTGGCATAAGAGTTGGGAAATATTTTGAAGAATAGCTCTTAGTTCACGCAGCAATTCAGTGCAAAGATTCTGCACATACTTTGTTTCCTAAAAAGGGATTTTATTGTTGGGAACTAAGCCAATAAAAAACAGTCTTTATCATTCTAAAACTGATTCCTGCCATCTGATTTATGCAGAATATATGGATGAATCTTTCTGTCTTTTGATTGCCACAGATCCCATTATCTTTGTGAAAAATAGCTCCTTTTATCATCAAAGCCATTGCATTTTAATGATGAAATAACAGAGACGAACTGACAGTGAACCCCCCTTTTTAAAAAAGCCTCCAAACGGTCAGGGAAAATTACAACGTATTTTTCTTACAAGAGCTTTAATATGCTTATAATAAAAGAAAACATCCTAACAAAAAACTCATAATTTGTTTTACATCTTCAGATATTACATTTTTACATGATTGCAGCATACTCAGCTTTTATCGGCTTTAGGCTGAAGTTACCTTACAAATAAATAAGAGGGTGGCAGCCTGGGAACTAAATCTTATCTATTTAATTTAGTTGCGTGCTATATTGTTATACTGTCATATTTCCCAAGGACTCTCGTGTACAGTTAAATTTAACACTCATTAAAGAAAATCCACCTAATAAACCATATAAACTAATATACATGAATAGTGTATAATTTATTGGTCAGGTGTTTTCTTAGTGGTTTGGAAATGATGGTTGATAGTTGGAGATGATAGTTGATAATTCCTTCATTTCCCAGGTTCAATTTAACAACTTCATAAACAGAAATGCTTTCCTTACCTGTAGAAGGGAATTGCCATGATGAAAATTGTATTTTTGCTATTGAATTGTGGCCCATTACTGTTAAGGAGCAGAAAACCTTAAGAGACAAGAGTTTAGCATGCTAATCAAGAGTATATGATATCACAGTTCTAGGATAATTATAAGCCTAGTAAGTTTTCAATTGCTGTTTGTAGCACTATGGTAGGCCTTCGTTGTCTTGCATTTTTATGTGTTTATGGCTTTTTCTGATTTTTTATTTTTGCATATCACACCTAGAGGAGTTGGTGGAAAAGTTGGCAATGGCTGTCACCATGTAGGTATTTTTTAAATTAGATCTATGTCTGTGATTTCACAACATCCTGACATTTGGATATGAATCAGATGCTTTTTCCCTTTCTGACAGAAAAAGTTCCACTTGCTAAAATAACTTCAAAAAATTCCACCTACTACATGCACCTACTAAATAATAAATGCCTGAAAAAAATTGAAAAAAAGTTGACCTCCTAAAGTTGGCTAATAATTTGTTTTAAAATAAGCTGTATTATCACTGGCCATTTGACAGTATAGGGAAAATGCTCAAATGGAAATCATTTTGCTATTTTTGTACCCAGACCTTCACCATAATGTTCCTTGGTCTCAGAAATTTAACTTCAGCATGATTTCATAACATATGCAGCTCTCCTGGTGTAACTTTACCATAGCTCCTAACAATTCCACCCAGCATGGGTAATAATGAGGGATGCTGGGAAGTCTGTTAACATCTGAGGACAAATTGTGCATTCATGTGACACAATTAAATGTGTTAGGTTCATGTCCCCGAAGCTGTGACATTCTTTCTATGCAGAGGCATGTCCTAAATCCACTAACATTCAGGGGCAATATTGGATAGACTGTTAGATTCTTTTGCAACATTTCAGAAGTGTAAGCTGCTTTTCCCATAATGCTTTGTAGCATTTATAATTAAGCCACTGGGGACACTCGTAGCATGGCCCTAGAGTAAATTGTCTTCTGCTTTCCTGATCTACATCCTGGAAATATTTGCAACAATTACTTATGAAGCTTCAGTGTTTGCTTTTTGCTTTATGTTGGGCCTCTCTACTAGGTAACTCCACACGGTGTTTAAAAATGTAGCCATGATAGTGTATAATGCTTACCTTCTCCAGAGCTGTTGCTTACAAATTTCTGAGATGGTGGAAGTATCATTTCTCAACAAACTCCTCAAATATAGTGGTCAGCATCACACTGTGCTTGAATCAAATAACAACAGTGGTAATTAATCCACAGGGGAAACGGGGATGGGCTGATGTAAGAGAAAGTAGGCAGATCCTTATATCTGTTCATGATCTCAAGGACAAAGTTGTCAGTTTGCATTCACAAGGGTGCCATTAGAACATTACTCTGGATACTCCAAGTCAAGTCCCCATTTGACAAATTACTGTACGAGCAACACAGCCTCACCAATAAATTTACCTGCTCTATTTTAAAAGGGCCAGTATCAAATTAATCAAGCCAGACTCTAAAATTACATAACTGCACAGTGAATTGTAGCTAAAGCATTAGTGTATTTAAAATGCTGGTGTGTACATTCAATGTCAAAACCTTAGATCGAAGGGGTGCTATATTTGATAGCTGTAAGGCAGACTTTAAATGAGACATCACTTTTATTTGCTAACAATTGACTGCCCAAATTCTGACTGTTGGAAGCTTGCCTCTTTTTTTATTTTTTCCTCCAATCATCCTATTTTGTTCCTTGTGTTTTATGGAGCAGAATAAAAGGGTTGAATTTAAACAATTGCTGTAGCTTTTTTCACACAATAGTTACATCTGAGGAGCCTTTTAATGTTTCCCAGCCATTTATATCCTAAATGAACAGGATGATTATATATTTTCTTCTCTTGCAATTTGAATTTAAAAAAAGAGTTGGTAACTCTGCTATTAGAGAGAAAGAGAGAAGATTTTAGGAGAATAAGTTGACTCTGTGATTAACACAGCCATCTAGTCCGTCAATTTTAAGTTAACCATAACTAAACATGTTATGCAAATACAACTACTGTCTACTTTCTTTGAAGCTGCATTCGGATATGTTTAAAGAAAAAAAAATTGGGAAAAAGATGTGAGAGGGAGTAGCCAGGGTTTAGTTTCTCATTTCTATTAAAATTCTCATTCCACACTAAGTAAAAGTGTAGTTACTTTGCTTTGAACTTGTTTTTTGTGTCTCAAATCAGCTACAGATTATTTAGACATACGCAGATTATTAGACATATAGCTGCAGCCTATATGTCTAACAAGATGTGGCTAACAATAAAACCTTGTGTGCATTATGACATTTTTATTGTGGCTACATGGTGAAGAATGGATGATCTAAGGCAGCGCTGTCAAACTTCCGGCCCATGGGCTGGATGCATCACACGCTGGCCAAGCCCACACCTGGTTTAGAAAAGGGTGGGCAGGGGGGGAAATCGCAATACATCATGTGATGCTGCTGTGATGACATGAGTTTGATTCCCCTGATCTAAGGTTATATTTAGAAGGCATATTGTGAATTATTTATTTTGATGGTGACGGCTATGAGAGAGGTTTGGCTTGAAATCCCAATAATATGTTCTGGGTGTACTTAAGGCCTGTAGCCATCACTCTTGGACAACAGCCCACCAGAAAAGGTACATTCAACTATTCCAAATACAAAATTACTACTGCTTAGAACCATTAATAATTTACATCCTCAACATGGTAGGCCTTGAACTTTTAAAAACAATTTCACAGCCAGACATTAAGCTGGTGAA